TCTCTCTCTCTCTCTCTCTCTCTCTCTCTCTCTCACTTACAAAGAGTCCCCTAAACGGTGACCAAGTTGCATGTGCTCCCCTGATGACTAAACTCCCAGGCCCCTTGCCAAAGGCACACAGATGGCCCCAGACTGCAGGCACCCCGTGCCGAGAGCGCGGCGGTTCGCAGCCGGGGGGACCCGCCCGGCGGGCGGAGGCGTGTGCTGGGGAGCGGCGGTGTCTCAGTCCTGGGGGAAAGCAAAGCCGCTTGCAGGAGGAAACGGGCGTTTCCTTCCCACGCGTTCAAGAGGACCCTGGGACTCGGCCCCGGGACCCCGCCCAGCCCCTCCCGGAGCCCTGGGAGAAGCCAGTCGCCACACACAGGCACACACAGGCCCCGGCGCCGCGCCCTTAGGAGAGCGGCACCCACGGCCAATTACCATGGCAACCCCAGGGCTTGTTCCACTTCCCCACCCAGCCATCCCCCTCCTCCCGGCGCCGCAGCCAACCCGCTGGTGTGAGTCCCAAGAGCGCGCTATAAAAACTGGCGCGGTGGCGCGGGCCGAGCGGCCACTCGCAACCCGGGGAGCGACAGGCAGCGACAGCCGGGCGCCCAACGTCTCCCTTCGGTCCGAGCGCCCGCAGAACGCCCGAGCATGCCGAGCGCGCCGCGCCTGAGCCTCTGCCTGCCCAAGCAGCGCCTTCGCCTGGCCTTTCTGCTGCTGCACAGCCTGGGCCAGGTGAGTGGCTCTCTTCGCCCGACGGCCGGAGGACTTCGCTCGCCCTGGGCTGCCACGGCTTGGCCCCGCTCCACTGGCCCCACTGAGGGCTCCCTCTCCTGTCTCGCCCGCCCCGCAGGTCGCCTGGGCTCAGCACTGCCCATCGCCGTGCCCCGAGCGGTGCGCCACCACCGCGCCGCCGGCCTGCGCGCCCGGCGTGCCCGCCGTGCTGGACGGCTGCGCCTGCTGCCTGGTGTGCGCCGGCCAGCGCGGCGAGAGCTGCTCTGAGCTGCGGCCCTGCGAGGAGAGCAGCGGCCTATACTGCGACCGCAGCGCTGACCCCAGCGCACAGACTGGCATCTGCATGGGTAATGCGACCCCACTCCCACCCTCTTCTCCTGAGACAGCTGGAGCTGCCCCACCTTACACACACACACACACACACACACACACACACACACGCACACACGCACGCACGCACACACCACATACACACTTTTCCCAAAGGGTGATGCGCACCCTCAGAAAGGACGAAGTAGTGAGGGTCTAGTAGTGATGTGTGGAGCCAGGCTTGGGCTGGGGAGCAGTGGACTGGGGGGAATGGCCCCAAGCAAAGAGGAAACCTGCCCAAGAAGTGAGAAGCATTCATCCTTTAAAGTCTCCCTGGAGAGAGGGGGCCTCCGAAACCCGTTCAGGGCCGATGAAGTCATTTCCTTTAGGTATTTCCAGGGACAGACTTGGGGGTGATGGGAAGGCACACTTACTCACACCCTCACAGTGCATGACTGCCCTCCAGCAGGTTGGTTGGCACATCTGAAACCGCCCTTTTCCAGCCTAAAGCAGCCGCTAGCCTCCTGGGAAGATTCTGCCAGCCAGCGAGTTAAAGTACAGTAAATGCAGACAACTAGCCAATGCAGGCTCATACGACTTATTCCATGGGGTGGGGGTGGGGGGTCGGTTTTTCACCCGATTTACCATCTGCAGGTCACTGCCTCTCTGCTTAGGGGGCTTGCGAACGCCTTTTTTTTTTTAAGTCATTTTATTGGGGCCTCATACACTCTTATCATGATCCATGCATCCATCCACTGTGTCAAGCATGTTTGCACATTGGTTGCCATCATCATTCTCAGAACATTTTCTTTCTACTTGAGCCCTTGGTATCAGCTTCTCATTTTTTCCCTCCATCCCTCATGAACCCTTGATAATTTATTTTTAAAAATTCCATGTCTTACACTGACCTATGTCTCTTTTCACCCACTTTTCTGTTGTCTGTGCCCCTGGGAGGTGGTTATATGTAGATCATTGTGATCGGTTCTCCCTTTCTACCTCACCTACCCCTTCCCCTCCCGGTATCACTATTCTCATTATTGGTCCTGAGGAGTTGATCTGTCCTGGAGTTCCTGTGTTTCCAGCTCTTATCTGTATCCGTGTCCATGCTCTGGTCTAACCGGATTTGTAAGGTAGAATTGGGGTCATGATAATGGGCGAGGTGGTAGGGGGGGAGCATTAAAGAACTAAAGGAAAGTTGTATGCTTCCTCAGTGCTATATTGCACTCTTGACTGGCTTGTCTCCTCCCCGAGACCCTGTCAGGGATGTCCAGTTGCCTACAAATGAGCTTTGGGTCTCCACTCCACACTTCCCCTCGTTCACAATGATAGGATTTTTTGGTGAATGCCTTTTTACCTCAAACTTGCTGCCATCAAGTCAATACCAACTTATCGTGACCCAAATTGACAGCTTGGCAAGTTTCGAAGTGCTGAACTTACATAGATTTCAGCCCAACATGTAGCCATTATGTCACCAGGACTCCTGGAAAGGCCTTCTACTTTTCTTCAAATATGGTGATCATTTGCTTAAAAGTCAAGGAATCCCAGGGCAGTTTCGAAACCACTGGCGTCTCCTCCGGAAAAAGTCGGGGCTTTCTAGTCCCTTAAAGAGTTACAGTCTCAGAAACTCAGAAGTGTCCATTCTACCCTGTCCCCTAAGGTGGAAATAAGTCGACATTGACTCGATGGCTGTGAGTGCCCAATTTGACCGTTCACCCTATTGGAGGAAGATGGAGTGCTTGTTCCACCTCCGTTTTCCTTTTGAATTGTCCGCTTCTGGCATACCAGCACAAAACCAGTCCAGCCCAAACCCACTCCATTGAGGTGGTTTCTCCTCCCAGGAGTGTCTAAAAAGGGGCTTGTAACATGGCTCTATCACTGGCAGCAATTGTTACGGGACCCTGGGTGTCTCATTTCATTTTGTCAGCTATGAAGGGAGAAACTGGACAGGGATGATGTTGAAGGTTCTTCTTGCTCAGAAGGACCTGAATGAGAGCGTCTCTACTGGAGATGGAGAAGAAAGCAGGTCATCGGAATTGGAACCACTCAGGGTTTGAGCTTTACTCAGAAGCCTCACTTAGCATCTCCCGTGCATCATGTCCTGTGTGTGTGTCTCTCTCTCCTTTATCCTCTCTGTCCTGCTTGCCCAATGTTCTAGTGCTGGAGGGCGACAACTGTGTGTTCGACGGGGTCATTTACCGCAGTGGAGAAACCTTCCAGCCGAGTTGCAAGTACCAGTGCACCTGCAGAGATGGGCAGATCGGCTGTGTGCCACGCTGCAACCACGACCTGCTCTTGCCCCGGCCTGACTGCCCTGCTCCAAGAAAAGTTGAGGTGCCCGGGGAATGCTGTGAAAAGTGGATCTGTGACCCCGACGAGGATGAGGGATTGGGAGGCCTCGCCCTACCAGGTGAGAAGCCTCAGGTGCCTGGAGGTAGACACAGGTCCTTATGCCTACAGGATAAATACAGGCAGGCGGGAGGTGAGAAAACTGTCCTTGGTTTGGGGCCATTCAGGGGCAGATCCAGATGACCCTCTGGAAACAAACACATCATGTCTTTAAATCTGAGCTAAATCTCAGACGCACTCGCACAAGTTCTTATAAATCGTTGCTGTTCTTAGTTGGCACCCAGTTGTCTGGGATTCTGTGACAACCTCGTCAATCACCAGCGAAACAGTGCCCAGTTCTGTGCGGTCTTCACTAAGGGTGCTACATTTGAGTCCATTGGTTAGAATTTCTTTGAAAGAGAACCTGCCTTGTTCTGCAATGAACCTGAGTTTGTCTTAATGAATGGTCACCACTGGGTTGTTTGGTTGGTTTTAAGTTAATCCCACCTTAACTTTTATTACTATACAAAGATAAGAGTGAGATTTGCTCTTCTTTTTCTGCATTGTATACACCCACGCTGTGACTCCTGTCACAGCCAGCCCCTCTGAAGAATTGTCCCTTGTCCTTGGAAAGGTGTCAGAGAAAAAGGTCACTCTTCCAGGTGCTGCAGGAAGAGTCAAATCCTGTGCTTTTCTTTTTGCTTTACCTTACAAGTGAAATCTTACTGGGGTGTGTGTGGGGGGAGGGATCCCGAGGAGTTGACCTGTAAATTAGAAGCCATTGATCAGCCCAATCATCCATACTGTCAGTATGCTGAAGTCTATTCCTGAGTGGCGGAAATGGTTAAACACTCAGATTCTCATCAAGAGGTGGGAGGTTAGAATCCACAGAAAGGTTCCTGAGAAGGAAGACCTGGCTATCGAGTTCTGAAAGATCACAGCCATTGAGAACTCTATGGAACCCACTTCTACTCTGACTCCCATGAGGTCACTTTGAGTCAGCATTAACTCCATTATCGCTTCTCGGCCTTTTGGCTAAAATCAAGTGCAGAATTAACTCCACAGCAAAGAGGTTTGTTGTTATTGTTGCTGTTTCCATTTTGTGAGCATAAGCCTGATCACTTCTGCCATCAGAAATTATTAGCCAGGCCTGACAGACAGAGAAAACTACTGTGTTGAAGAGGAGATGTGTCCCTTGCAGTGTATGAAAACGGAACTTTTTATCGAAGTCCAAGTTTCTGTATCCCACGACCAAAACACCCACTTTTCCCTCCCAAAAGCAAACTAGGGCTTTTGTCACTATTTTGAACAGTTAGTTCCTACTTACTCATCACAATGAAAATTTTATCATAACCTTTTTAATACATAAAAATACCCAAGAAACTCCAAACTCATTATCGCCAAATCATTTCCAACTCTCAGCAACCCTACAGGACAGGGTGGACCTGCCCCTGTGGGTTTCCGAGACTGTGGCTCATTATGGGAGGAAGGAGCCTCAGTTTTCTCCCATATGAAAGTCTACGTGTTGAAAACACTACTACGGTTACAAACCGGCTGCTGAACACTAAGTCAGCGTTCAAAATCACCAGCCACTCTGCAGCAGGAAGATGGGGCTTTCTGCTCCCTAAAGAGCTAGTCTCGGAAACCCAAAGCCAGTTCTGCCCTGTTCTATGAAGTCATTGTGAGTTGGAATTGACTCATGGGCAGTGAGACAGAGAGACCTCATGTCAGAAGTATGTCACCTGTTGGCGGTGGTATCAAATGGACAGCGCTCCCTGACGGTGACCCCATATACAACAGAACGGAACATTTCCCAGTCCTGACCCGTCTTCTGATCATTTGCATGCTCAAGTTCACTGTGTATTTTGAATACTTGCCAGCCTAGGGGACTCATAGTGCATTAATGAATTGGAAAATACGCTATTGGGATCCAAAGGGTTTTGTTGGCCAATTTTTAGAAGCAGAGCAGTAGGTCATTCTTCCCAGCCGGCCTTAGTCAGAAAGTTCTTCTGAAACCTGTCTGCCATGAGGGATCCTGCTGGAATTTGAAATACTGGTGGCCTAGCTTCGACCATCGTAATGATATCAAGCCGCCACACTAGGACATAGCTACAGATGGATGTTGGCAACCTGAACACAAACAAACAAACAAATAACTCATTGCCATCCAGTGGATTTCAACTTATAGAGCAGGGAGGAACTCCCTCCAGTGAGTTTCTGAGACTGCAATTCTTTGCAGGAGTACAAAGTCTCATCTTTCTCCCTTGGAGCAATGAGTGGTTTCAAACAGCTGACCTTGTGGTTAGCAGCCCAACTTATAACCCACTCTGCCTCGGGGGCTCCCTGGTCTTCCTGCTAGGAGTTAATAAATAAAGAGATCCACATAGGCCCCCTGGGTCCCCCAGAATTTAGTAGGCACTGAAATGGATAAACCCTCTTTCTAATAACAATGAAGGGAATAAAAGCAACTTGGCGAATCTTGTTTTACTTCATATTGCTATCTTTATTTATGCATCCTGTAGCTTACAGACCAGAGGCCACCCTAGGGGTTGAAGTCTCCGACTCAAGTATCAACTGCATTGAACAGACCACAGAGTGGAGCGCTTGTTCCAGGAGCTGCGGCATGGGCGTTTCCACTCGGGTCACCAACAGGAATCGGCAGTGTGAGATGGTGAAGCAGACACAGCTCTGCCTGGTGCGTCCCTGCCAACAAGAACCTGAGAAACCAACAGATAAGGTAAGGAGCCTGAGGAACCTACCATCAGAAAGGGCATGGACTGGCTTTATCGGAACCCAGGCTCCAGAAAGTTCCTCTAATACCGGTCAGCTGTGGCTGGGAGTCAACCCAGAGAGAATGCTGAAAGACAGATCCAATTGGAGCAGATTTATACCTTGCTTCCTCTTCAGGGTTTGGGAATATGCCCAAGAACTCTCAGAAAGTCCCAAAGTGAAGAGGTAGGGTCCATCCAACCGAAGTGCTTTCCCCAGTTCAGAACTCTGTGGCAATCCCCATTCCATTCCTGGAGAAAAGGGCCCTCAATATCCCCAGGATAGATGATTGGAGAAAGGTCCGTTCCAGCCTGAGTTCTCCTCACCTCTCGGAGGAAATCGCAGGAGGTGGACCATGTCTGTCTGGTTTACCCATCAGCCGGCCTGGTACATAGCGTGCCTGGTCCATCATTGTTAGTGAACAAAATGAATGGGAACCTGGGAGTTAGGGTCAAGAGTTTTAAGGGCTTAGTGGAAACAGTGCATTTGCCAGGATAAAGCAGTATGGTCCAAATTAAACAGCATGTTTCTTTTCTTGTTAGCTGAAATTAGCTCAACTCAGAGTGTTAACACTGAGTATAAGGCACACAGATCAGAAGCTCTGATTGACCAGAGCCCTACGTCAGATAAATGCAACGCCCAAATGGAACCATTCTATGTGACCTTGTACAAGGCCAAAAAAAAAAGACCAGTCCCTAGCAATGCAGGGCTCGCATAGCTCTAGACTGAGGCAATGTCATCTAATACTTAAGGGTGTAAACTCTGGAGCCAGACAGCCTGGCTTCAAACCCTGGCTTTCCACACAGACGAGGAGGTGATCATGGGCAGTTTTCTTAAGCTCTCAGCCTCAGTGTCATCCCCTGTGGAGCAGGGCTGTGGATGGCACCTACTTCCAGGTTGCCATGAGGATTAAATAGAATGGTTCTGCAAAATGCCGGACATGTACAAGGCACTTGCTAAAACTAGCCTGTATTACTTAAAATGTCTGTCTATTAATGAAGGGCAAGAAGCCCCTCATATTTGCACTATTAGATGACTGCTTAGTTATCAAGCTTTTTGAGGTCCATCTTAGCTTTATGTTTCTCCTACCATCTTTGAGAGAGTGCTCACAAACACCTTGTGGCAAAAACTGTACCCATAATGCTACACACACACACACACACAGTTCAGAACATTATGATATACATATCACATAAAAACCTCAAAAGAACCCACTACCATCAAACTGAGTTCAATGCATAGAGACCCTATAGGCCAGAGTCGACCTTGAGTTTCTGAATCTTTACATCTTTACAGGAATAGACAGCCTCGTCTTTCTACCTCAGAGTGACCGGTGGTTTCCAACCCCTGACCTGTGGCTAGCGGCTCAGTGCGGAGTCACTACACTACCAGAGCTCCCATTTCAGCGATCATACACATGTACATGCATGCACACATAGACCGTTGTTGCTATACTTGTGTCTTTTTGTACTGTTGGGTAGACTATAAGCATTCAATATGGAAAGAAAGAAACAAGAATCTCTTAAATATGTTTAACTTGTTTCATAGATCGTATTTTTCACCTCATGTCTCTAAAATTTTCTTTCTTTTCCTAAACTGTGTTGTCTCCCCTTGTCGCTTACACCAAGTTTAATACAGGGAAACATTGTATTCAATATATTTATGTGAAGTCTATGAAACGTAGGGAATTTATATGGAAGCCAGGGAAGTAATAGCAAAGCAGTCATTGCTTTGTATCCTCAGGGGATGCTGACACTGTAGGGCAGTGCTTCCTGAAGCTGGATCCCCAGACCAGCAGTAACATTGAAGAACTTGTTGGAAATCCAAATGCTTGGGCCCACAGTGTGAGGCGCAGCTATATGTTTGTTTTTAAAAAACCCTGTAAGTAATTGTAAGGAACTCTGGTGGCATCGTGGGTTATGCCTTGGGCTGCTCACTGCAAGGTCAGCATTTCAATTCCACCAGCTACACCAAGGGAGAAAGATGAGACTTTCTCTCCCATCGTTGCGTTGGGTAAACCTGCTGCACCAGACCTCTTTAAGGTGTTGAACAACAAGGCGCTGACTTTGAGACTAGGGTGTGTCTGGCCTACGCCATGGTGTTCTCAATTGCCTCATATACAGTGAAGGCTCAACACCAAAGAACAGGGAAGACAGAAGAAGAAGCCACGTGTGTGACGTAGGGTGCTGGGGAAGAACACAGAAAGCACCATGGACGGCCACAAGAACAAACAAAGTCTTTCTAGGAAAAGCACACCCAGAATGTTCCTTCGTGGCAAGGATGGCCAGACTTCATCTCACATACTTGAGACATGTTGTCAGGATAGACCGGTCCCTGGAGAGGGACTTCATGCTTGGTACATGGAGGGCCAGCGAAATAGAGGAAAACCCTCAACGAGATGAACTGGCACAGTGGCTTCAATGATGGGCTCGAACGTAAGAACAGTGGGTGGTGCTCCATTCCGTTGTACATGAGGTTGCTATTAGTCGGAACAGACTCGACAGCACCTGATAACATCAACATCTCTTCCATAAAGATTTGCAGCCTCGGAAGCCGGTTCTACTGGGCTCTATAGAGTCACTATGAGTCAGAATCAACTAAGTGACCCTTACTTTGGTTTGAGGTAGGTAGTTCTACTGCGCACTAAAGATGAAAAGCCGCCAATATAAGAGAATCCTAAGTCTAATCACCCGACAGCGTGGGGGGTAATTCGAAGGAGGTGGGAAGGTGAAAATAATGGAGACTTGAGGCAAACTGGCAGATGAGGAAATACACATAGCTTTAGCTCTCCTTAATTATCAATATTGAGTTTCCCCATTAAGCATTGTTAGTGGATTTTTAAATAAACTCTATATTGCTTTGCCTTCATGGAAAATAATCTCAAATCCCACTGCCTTAGAATTTCTTGTGGTCACAATATAAGAGAAAACTTGGGTGTTATAGTCAAACAAATTCACATATTGGATGTTCTCCGATCCCGTTGCTCTTAGCGGGTAAATGTCAGAAAGCATTTCAAATATTATGGTGTGCAAGAATTCCACACTTACTCCCTTTCTCTGTGTAACACTTAAGAATACACTTGACTAAAAAATAACACAAAGCCCCATTAGGGTAGTTTCAAAAGTGATGGCATTTCCTTCTACTTCCTTTGTCACCTCATGGTCATCAGTTAGTTGTGCCCGAGGTATGGGGTCTGCTTTGCGGGCAGAAAGGAAACACCATGGGGGAAGGAAGAAGGAATTTGTCAGGAAAGCAAAGGATTTCTGAGAGGTTTCGTTTCTCCAGCCAGATCTTTGTCAGCAGGCCTCTCCAAGCTCCCACATGGTCTGGGGAAGAGAAATACTGTGAACTGAGCCCATTTCACAAACAAAGTTCACATTCTGTTAGCAAAGAGGAAAACCAAAGCCAAACTCACTACCATCCAGTCAACTGTGAATCGCAGGGACCATACTGAGTGGAGTATGGTCCCTTTGAGTGTCAGGGGCTATAAACCCTTCCAGCAGCAGAAAGTCTCATCCATCTCCCAATGAGTTGCTGAGTTTGCAATTAGCAGCCCAGCTCATAACCCAAGACGCCACCCAAGCTCTTTTGCAAAGAAGGCAAGGCTATTGGCGAGGCAGCTAGCAGATTTTCGCACGCTTCTCAGTGGGACAGTGGCCATTCCACGCATGACTTCTGTGCTTCTTTCTTAGAGAGGAAAAAAGTGCCTGCGCACCAAGAAGTCACTCAAAGCCATCCACCTGCAGTTCAAGAACTGCACCAGCGTGCACACCTACAAGCCCAGGTTCTGTGGCGTCTGCAGCGATGGCCGGTGCTGCACCCCGCACAACACCAAAACCATCCAGGTGGAGTTCCGGTGCTTCCCAGGACAAATGGTCAAGAAGCCGGTGATGGTCATCGGGACCTGTGCCTGTCACACCAACTGTCCTCAGAACAATGGGGCCATCCTCCAAGAGCTGGAACCCAATGACAGCAGAGGGGAGATGTAGACACTGTCCCTGCGAAGCTCACCTGCAGAGGCCAGGTGTAGCTCCTGCATGACCCACCACCAGGTGACCAGAAGAACCCACCTGTGCATCATGCGTCCAGCAGTGATGTGAGAACCCTTATACCTGCCCTTTTTCTCCCCCTTATCAAACAATATCATAAACTGTAAACTTTGAATGAAAGTAAGCTCACAATATGGCTTCAGGATGACTTCCCTTTCGGTGGTGTGTTTTTTTCCAATGCGAATGCCTATGCTTTTGAGAAATCAGTTATCTGTTTTACTTTGTAGCATATATCTCTTACACTCATGTTATATTGTGTAGACAATCGCCACTCCCAGGAAGCGTCACGCTAAGAAACCGCACAATAATGCTCGCAAGCATATTGAACGTGCCGTCCCGCAAATGTCTCTCCAGGCATATATTAAGGTCTGAGTTGAGGATGCTTGGTGGAGATTTCCTTCTGGGTACTCAATGCTGAACATTCCAGATTAAGATCCGAGGTAACAGAGAGCTCTTTGACTTGAGATTTAAGTTAGTCTGTGGATCCATTTTTGGTTCACTAGATGATGCCGTATGTGCAGTGATGGCAAGTTTGTTCATTAAATAATGACTGTCAAAAATGGCCAGATTGACTCCTCTCCATAGAAAGAAGCCAGTCAGAGAACTCTGCTTTGAACCAAGCGGGCTGGGACCTTCCTTGCATTTCTTTGTCCTGGAAGCGGCGGCTTTTTAATGCAGCAGCAGAGGAGGGCATCCGTAGGAACCCTCTCATCTTAGGGTTGAGTAAACTGAGTTCTGAAGCACTTCAGTTATTCAGTCTTAAGCCCTGATACTTTTCAATGTTCTTTGGATGGAATTTTGAGTACGAGCAAATTCAGTTATTTGGTGTGCAGCCACCACCAAGTCCGTGTGTTTAGAAGCATCTTATTGTTGTTGGGTGCCATCCAGTAGGTTCCAACTCATGTGCAACAGAAAATACTTGTTACAACCCCGTGGACCACAAAGCAAAGCACTGCCTGCCCCTGTGCCACGCTCATCATCATGGTCATGTTGCAGCCCCTGGCTGCAGCCGATCCATCTTGCCGAAGGGCCTCCTCTTTCCTACTGCCCCTCTAATTTACCATGCCTGATGTCCTTGCCCAGAAACTGCCCTCTCCCGGTGGCATGTCTAAAATATCGTAGACATGCCCAAAACTTACCCTCGGGCCAGAATGATGAAAACTCGCAAACATGATCTATGTGTACAGAAACATGTATCTCACTTGTCAGGATGCACGATAGGCTACCAAATGACACCTGTACATTTCTCTAATGTCATCATTAAAATATTTATGTAACTTAAACTGTACATTTTGTAAAATATTCTTTTTAACTTCTGTACTTGCCCGACAGCCCAAAATAAACCTGGTCTTATCGGCGTGTGATCAGCTGTGACTTTGTGTTATTAAGTTTAGCGTTCTCGCTTAATGAAAATAATATTTTTTTTTAATCTATGGGTCCGATGAGATGCCAGCCAGTCAACGGTATCTATTGAAAACAAAACGGTGTGCTTACAACTTCTCTCACCAGGGGGATAATAGTTGGTACCGAATTAGGGGACTTCACCTCCCAAGTCTGAAATGTTCGGCATCCTGCTGACTAAGGGATGTGTTGAAGATGGAGAGGAGAGGCCTGCCTCACCTCTGCCTGGTGGCTGTGGACGTGGGGCTCCTGGGAGTTGGTTGTTCCGTGTCCTTTGTGTAGTCACAGACGGGGCTCCGGGCCATTTTGTGGTAGCCCTACAAAATATGTCATTTCTATGACCCCATTTTATAAGCAAGGGGACTTACTGGGAAAAAAAGAAAAGTTAAAAAAAAATAACTGGTGGATTTAAGGCTCTAATTAAAGTCATTTTTCTTCTACTTTAAACTGCCCTGTGATTCAGTCCAAAGCTTGGCTGTGCACAAGGTTGTTTGACTTAATATTGTTCATAGATGCAAATATTGGAATCATTCAACCATAAAGATTTGGCTAGATAAATCACAGTACAGCCACTATATTTAAAAACAATCATTAAAATGAGAACATGGGGGAATAGTTAACCAAAAAAAGACACGTAACTGTAAAGGGAGTGATAGGTCTTTATTTTAAAATATCCATAAAGGCAATGAAAAGGAGGCCTCGCAGAGAATGTGCGACTAACTGTGCGTGAGGGTTTCCTGGTAGTGTGAGTTGGGTTTTTGCTTTTTGCTTTTTGCGTCTGTTTTTGTTCCCCATTTCTTTACCATTTTTTTAAAATCTAAGAATATGCAACCATAAAACAGGAGAAAGAAATGAAGAGTTAATTCTGTCCTCCATTTGACAGCGTTCTCTACTCCTACCCCACTCCCTCACGCTGTTGCCTTCCCCTTCCAGCACACTTCATGTTTATTTCATTCATCACTCGGCAGATATGCCCACAGATATGCACCCACAGGTATGCACCCACAGATATGGACCCAGGGCTGCTGTGTGCCCCCGCCGTGTTATGTGTCCTGGGAATACAGCCGGAAATAAAACACACACGGTCTTTGTTCTCCCTAGAATTTATTCTCTGTTGGCAAATGCAGGCAAACAAAAAAGAGGCTAGCTGTCAGTGGTGATAAGCAACCTCGACGCAGAGCGTCCAAACACCGTGAGGCCATGGGAAGTTTCTGTGTGGCGCACGTCACAGGATGTGCTCTGGACATTCTTTGCAAGGAGGTGACATTTCCATTTAGATCTGAATTACAAGGATTAGGAGGAAAAAAATCTCCCAGTCAGTTGTTTTTGTTCGACACCATCGAATCCATTCCCTCTCCTTGAGACCCTGTGGACAGCAAAGCAAACGCCCGGAGCCCTGCACCGTCCTCCCCATTTTTATGGCCGAGCCCGTCCTTGCAGCCATCGTGTCCATCCACCTTGTCGAGGGTCTTCCACCTTTTTGTGCTGCCCGTCTATTTTACCAAGCATGATGTCTGTGTCCAGTGACCGGTCTGTCCCACGTGGAGGAAGCCAAGTCTCACCATCCTCGCTTCTAAGGAGGGTTCTGGCTGTACTTCTTCCAAGATACCTTTGTTTGCTCTTTTGGCAATCAATCCATGGTACTTTCAGAATGTTTCACCCACACCCTAATTCAAATTCATATGAGGCCATTGAAAGAAAATACTAAGGCTTATGCCGGGTGCACCATTGTCCTCAAAGTAACATCCTTGCTTTCAACACTTTAAAAGATCCGGTGGAGCAGGTGTGCCCGGGCAGAGACTGTGCAATATAACGTTTCTTCCAGTGTCAGGAATAAGCTTGGAACATTGGCGAGCAGTGTAGTTAGAGGTCAGGGGGTGAGGAAAGGTGGGAGGTGATGAGCTTGCAGGGTTTAGGGAAATGGGGCTTGCCTTTATTATTGTAGATTTCCACTATTTTACAATGGTTTCTGTAGACCTGCATTGCACAGACCATCTTGAGGGCAGTGTCTAAGCCATTGTGTCTTTGTATCTGCCACAGTACCTGGCGGTAGGTAAAGCCTAACTGTATACCTGTGGAATGGATGCCAGGACTCTGCCTTGGGAAAAGGCACCATGTTCTTTGCATGTGACTTTTAAATGACCCTTTTCTTGACCTTCTGGGAACAACCTTCCTCCCTCTACAGAAACGCACACTCTTGCATTCCTAAAATTTTAATTTAAGGTGGTTGAAAATAATGATCTTTCACAATAATCTTGGCAAAGTCCAGAATTTTCTGGAAAGCAGCATTTGCTGAGCATTTTGGAGCTGGGAAGAAAAACATGGGCTGCAGAGTTATTCAAAACCAGACTTGAATTCCAGACCTTCTCTTTACCAGCTGCGGCAAAGCAGGCAACTTACACACCCCCTCCGAGTCTCAGTGTCTACACCAGTAAAATAAAACTGATTTGGATGATCACCTGGCATGCAGAGATGCAGAAAGGCTCTGAGCTGCAGAGACCAGGACAATCCCAAGTCAACAGAGCGAATTAGGGACCCTAAAAACAAACCTCATGGTGTTGTCAGATCATGTCCATTCACAAGCACTTGACTGCCTTTCACATAGCGGGACCATGAATCAGAGCTATTGAGGGAACGAGCTAGGCGAGCCGCTGTCCTCTTTCTTTACTTTTTGTACTCTGAGATATCCATGATGGGCCTTAGTTTGATTTAAATGAATAAATAAACACAGTGCCATTGAGTTGATTCGTACTCGTAGGGTTTCTGAGACTGTCAATCTCTACAGGAGCAGACACTGTCAACTGGTGGCCTTGAAGTGCTGACCAGGTGGTCAGCTGCCCAACACCTACCCCATCACACCACCGGGGCTCTTTCAAAGATGGTAACTGTCAAACCAGAGAAAACCAAACTGTTGCCATGGTTCGACCTCCACACATAATGACACTCTTATGTGTCAAAGGAGAACTCTGCTCCATGAGGTTTTCCAAGGGAGATTTTTTTTTCCCAGTAGATTTTTCCAAGTAGGCTTTTCTTCTGAGCCATATCCAGTTGGACTCAAACATCCAACCTTCCAGTTAGCAGCCAAATGCCTGGACTGTTTGCACCTCCTCGGGACCCCTGATGACCTCGGAAAGGCACCGTCAATGGAGGAGTCAAACTCAGGGTCTGCCTGAGCTCAGAGCCAGCTCTTTCTTCCATAGAGTTGCAGGCCCTGAGGTCAAGTGTATTTTTAGCAACCAAATCAATTCCAGCAGCTTTTCTTTTTGGTTCTATTTTCTCAAACTCCAAATGTTCTCCTTCAGAAAACTCATTGTAATGAGATGGTTGAGATCATTCCATGGGTGTGAAGACTGTTTATTTGAAAGCACTTAATTTCTGGTCTAATCAGGCACACTTCGCTGAAAATAACTTAAGAATTTTCCTTTGGTTTCCTTTTTTCCCCCACACACGGATTCAATTCACTATGGGGCAATAACATTTTTAATGACACAAGGAGATAATTTGTCGCACAATAGTTCCAGATCATCTGTGCCGGATGAGATGATCAGGAAAGCTGTCCCGGGAAGATTCCTGGGTCCTGTTCGAGTTCTCTCCCGGTCTCTTTCTTGTAGGTACACACGGTCATGCTTCCGAGATGGGTCCTCTCCAAAGTGCTCGCCACCATCAGTCAGATGATCAAAACGGTGTGTTCTTTTGGCTGTGCGCTATCAAGCTTAGCTTGAAGATTCACGATGGTGGGAAATGTATTCGTCCTAGCCACCCCACGTGGTTTATGCTGGTAGAACTGTGCTGCCTGGACCACAGAGGGTTCACGAGATTCAATTAGCACTTCCCTAACACTGCTGGCACCTGCTGAACTCTCCATAATGAAGAATTCTCTGTAGTCATCCAGCTGAGGATGGTGAATTACTGGTACATTAAGCCAGCTGTTCTGAAGATTACCAAGAGGGGTAGAGGGTAAGGGTGATGATGCCGTAGCATTCTTCCTAAAGGATGTGTATCTTTCTCCTTATACCCAGAAATTGAGGGCCCGCATTTCAGCCGAGGGGTCTCTATAGAAGAGTGTTCGATTCCATTCAGATGGCAAGGTTTCACAGTGTGAAGAGCTCCCTGGCTCTGTCAGAAGGAGTTTGGAAAGAAAGGTTTTATCATCCAAGAAGAGGACGTTACTTGGACTGATATTTTATTAGCAAAATCTTAGAAGAAGGCTCTCCTTGTAGCAGAGATTCAAAAGCCTGGAAGAGGTTACCAAGTTCTGCGTTTGACTCAAGTCAGTCTCAGCATAGTTCTAGCTAACCTGATTTGCCTTAGGAGGTAAGGCCCCCACAAGCTCCTTAGAGGACCCGGACAGAGGAGACTCCAGGGAAGGGGAGTTCTGTTTCCCTAAAGGTTCAGTAGTTCATATCTTCCCCAATATTTTGCAGAGCAC